AGGGATTTATCGTGCTCCAAGCCATCCCATCACCTACCCTTCTGGATGCGCAGCTTCACAGAGGAGGTGTGCTCTGTGTGCCCGTTTTTAGCCCCGCACCAGTACCATCCTGCATCCTCCTCTCTCAGGTGGCTCATCACCACCGTGTAAGTCCCATTTTCCCGGTCGCCGCTGGCTATTTGTATTCGCCCTTTGTAGGACTCGTGCACAAACCCGTCCGCATCCACGAGCAGTGAGCAGCTAGCTTCTTTCCACCTGCACAAATACTTCTTCTCGTAGTTCCCCTCGGGATCATAGTGGCACTTCAAGGACAGCGAGCCTCCGACTGTGCCGCTCAGAAATTTTGGTCTCTTGGGAAGGGTGGAGGCTGCAGGTTGGAGAGGACCACGTTAGCATTTCATGCTACTCATCCAGGGCTGCAAGAAACCCATGCAGCATGTGCAGCCCCCAGCACCCCGTCCTACCTGCGGTCACCTGCAGAGCTACCACCCGCGGGCTGTCCCAGCTGCTAAGGCTTCCCGTCCCGCACCTGTACAGCCCCGAGTCTTCCTTTTTTAAGTCATTTATCAAGATTTTGAAAGCTCCAGAGCTCTCCTGAGGGGTGATAAAGATTCGTCCTTGGTAACTCTTTTCTACGTAGCCATTGGTGTCGGCAATGAGCGCGCAGCCGATTCTCCCCAGTTTGCACCAGAACCTCTTCTCACCGCCTTGGGTGTCCCCGGGTGGGCACAGGACCGTGACAGAGCCGCGGAGCTCCCCCCGGATGAGCTCAGTCGGTCCCAACACACCGGCATCTGTAGGGAGAGAGCACAGCAGGCACCATCCAGCATGCAGTCCCCAGCCAGGCAGGAGAGAGTTTCCTTTTACATTTATGAATAGCTGATTTGTCCAAATCTGGGTACTTTTATACCCCACTGTTGTAAATATCTGGTTAATAGCACGGGGTAGAAAAAGTTGGTACGCCTGCTGTGCATGGATGCTCCAGCATCCAGCCCCAAACCGCTCCCTGGGAGCCGGGCTGCCGGCGGAGCGGAGCCTCCCCTCTCCCCGGCCAGCATCCTACCTGCCAAAACCGTCAGGTTCAGGCTGACATACAGGCCTCTGTTGCTGATGCCGATGCCACATCGGTAGGTCCCCGTGTCGCTCTTCTTCAGCTCTGTCATCGTCACTGCGAAGGTGCCGTTCTGGGGGATGTCCTCGAGAGACACTCGCCCCGCGTGGTCTTTCGAGGTGTAGCCGGTTGTAGAAATGATGGTGTAGCAAACTCCGCTTCCTGCTATTTTGCACCAATATTTTCGGTCGTGCTTGTTGGCTGGCATGATGGAGTAGAAGCACTGATGGGTCACTGATCCTCCAACCTCACCTGTCAGAAACCTGGGTCCGAACAAGGTACTTGAGACTGGCTCTTCGTGGGGAAGAAAGAAAGAGAAGTAGTTGGTTAGAGACAGCCAGATCCTTGCCTGGCAAAAAACAGCATAGCTCCTTCGAGTCAAGGGCAGCAGTGGGACATCTGGCTCAGAAAGTTCAGTGTTTATTTTGGATGTGGTGTGGTACCTTCCTTGAGTGCCACATTATCCGCTTGAGGATAACTGATGGCGCAGAGCCACCGCCCTGTTGCCACAGCACAAATGGGGAACCCTCGATGCCCCTTACAGATGCCCCAAACCCCCATCAGCCCTGACAGTCCTGCCTGGAGTTACATGTCAAGGGCAGCAGTTAACAGCAAACATCTAACAACCTTTGGCATTTGCAAACCCTGCCTGATCTGGCAACTTTCTTCTCCCTGCAGCAGCGTTGCACAGGCACAAGTGGCTGGCTGCCGTGCCGAGCGACGGAGAGCTGGGGTTCTCCTTCCCAGCTCTTGCCATGCCTTTGCTAGCTCTCGGCGTAGTGGGCAGGGAGGTTTCACCAGTTTCCATTTTGCAGGTGGAGGTGTCTAGTGTCCAAGTGAGGATTTAGTCAGGGATGTACCTGTGTCCCCGGTTCCAGCTTTGCCGGTTCTCGTCAGTGTAAGTGCCTGGAGAGCTGGTTTCTTGGCGACTCACCTTGCAGCAAAGCTGCTAAACATGTCCAGCCTTCACGAATGTTCGCTCGGCAAACTTCAAAAATCTCGCTTTGGATATGGGATTTTGCTGATGTCTGTGGTGTCAAAGAGAAGAGAGAGGTTGTGGCTGGGGTCTTCCAAAGTAAACCACCCGGATTGCTCTGATGGCCGTTTGGAGCAGAGCACCCGCGTCCCTGGTGGCTCCCAGCCCGTGACGTGGCCTGCCCCGAAGATAAGGGAATTTTAAAAAGAAAAAAAAAAGTGCTAATAGTGCTCTGCAGCTCTCACTCTCCTGCATTAAATCCTCTGTTGTGTGGGTACTAAAGGCATTGCTGGTAATGCCAGGTCACCGGCAGCTGAAAGCCGGGGCTCTGTCGGGCTGGCGAGGGACCTGTTGCGGTGCTGCAGCGGAGCCACGGCACCGCAGCGACCAAGCAGCAGCCCCCGCCTGGGCTGTGCTGCAGCCTGCGCGAGTGCGTGCAGGCACAGAGGCGATCAGGGATTGCTTCGGGGGTTGCCAAACCCGGCACCGGGCAGCCAGCAGCAGCCAGGAGACGTGGCACTTTGCCCATCCTGCCCGGCCAGCCGCCTGCAGACGGACCTGTGGCATCAAGTCATTTCTCTGCTTTTCTTCTTTTTTTTTTCAGTTCAAGAAACAACAGGAAATGCTGCAGGTCTCAGG